ACAAAACCAGCAAGCAAACAGTAAGTACATTTATACAGCCTACAGAATTCTAAACAAGTCCATCTTAAGAAAAAAGCCACAACTTCTTCTTACCACCAGCACACAATATAAACACTGAAATCGCCAGGCATGGTGGCTCATGCCTGTAATCCCAGCACTTCGGGAGGCTGAGGCAGGCGGATCACAAGGTCAAGAGATTGAGATCATCCTGGCCAACATAGTGAAACCCCGTCTCCACTAAAAACACAAAAATTAGCTGGGCGTGGTGGTGCGCGCCTGTTGTCCCAGCTACTCCAGAGGCTGAGGCAGGAGAATTGCTTGAACCCGGGAGGCAGAGGTTGCAGTGAGCCAAGACCGCGCCACTGCACTCCAGCCTGGTGCTTGGCGATGGAGAGAGACTGTCTCAAAAAACAAAACAAAACAACAAAACTGAAATACATGCTAAGATCACTACTTTCTGAATGAACCCCAGCACACCATCGAAGAAACACATTATAAACAAACTACTGAAAATCAAAAAGACAATATTATTATTATTATTATTATTATTATTTTTAATAGAGACGGGGTTTCACCATGTTTACCAGGCTGGTCTCAAACTCCTGACCTCAAGCAATCTACCTGCCTTGGCCTCCCAAAGTGCTGGGATTACAGGCGTAAGCCACTGCGCCGGCAACAACATTATTTTGAAATAAAAACACTCAATACACACAGAATACAGGAAACCCACCTCAACATAATAAAGACCATTTAGGAGAAGCCTACAGTTACCATCACAGTGGATGGTGAAAGCCTGAAATCTCTTCCTCTAAGATCAGGAAAGAGACTAAGAAGCCTCCTTTCGCTATTTCTATTGAGCATGTTACTAAAATGTCCCTAAAATGAATCCTGGCAGGAGAAATTAGACAAGAAAAAGAAATAAATGCCAAGCAGTGGAAAAAAAAAAAAGTTAAATGCTCTGTGTTCACAGAAGACATCATTTGATATTTGGAAATCACTAAAGATTCCATGGAAGACTGGGCATAGTGGCTCATGCCTGTAATCCCAGCAATCTGGCAGGCTGTACATGTAAAGCATATACAGAGGCCAGGCACGGTGGCTCTTGCTTGTAATCCCAGCACTTTGGGAGGCCAAGGCAGGTGGATCACCTGAGGTCGGGAGTTCGAGACCAGCCTGACCAACATGGAGAAACTTCGTCTCTACTGAAAATACAAAATTAGTTGGGCATGGTGGCACAGGCTTGTAATTCCAGCTATTTGGGAAGCTGAGGCAGGAGAATAGCTTGAACCTGGGAGGCAAAGGTTGTGGTGAGGCGAGATCCCACCACTGCATTCCACCCTGGACAAGAGTGACACTCTGTCTCAAAAACAAACAAACAATAAAGCATAACGTATGGGGCAAAATCACAAAAAGAAATATAAAAGCAGGAAGAGCCAACATAGACAAGGGCAGATTCCTTGTGTCTGGAGGGACATTTTTCTCACCCACAGACTCCAGGTTGCTGTAGTTCTCCAACATCACGTCTCTGTATAAAGCCCTCTGCGCAGGGGTCAGGCATTTCCACTCCTCCAATGAGAATTCTACAGCCACATCCTTGAAAGTCAAGTGTCCCTAAAATGAAAAACACATTTCAACAAAACATTATGGAGGACTGAGTTACCACCTTCACATGAAATGAAAAAAGAGAAATTCAGTATCGATTTCATCACAGACTATTCTGACAAACCCAAGTTAAGGTATTTTTTTTAACATTTCTTCTCTATTGTTGCATTTTATTGTAATTTCCCACGAAAGATTTTAAGGTCCCCAAAAATCACTGTAGAAGTCTTGGTTTTATGGACAATATAAAAAATACACAAACAAAAAGGAAATACACGACCAGGCAGGGTGGCTCACGCCTGTAATCCCAACACTTTGGGAGGCCAAGGCGGGCAGATCACTTGAGGTCAGGAGTTTGAGACCAGCCTGGCACAGTGGCTCCTCCCTGTAATCTCAGCACTTTGGGAGGCAGAAGCGGGCAGATCACAAGGTCTGAAGATTGAGACCAGCCTTGCCAACATGGTGAAGCCGTCTCTACTAAAAATACAAAAATCAGTGGGCTGTGGTGGCACGCACCTGTAATCCCTGCTACTTGGAAGGCTGAGGTAGAAGAATCGCTTGAACCCAGGAGGCGGAGGTTGCAGTGAGCTGAGATTGCGCCATTGTACTCCAGCCTGGGTGACAGAAGAACACTGTCTAAAAAAATAAATAAATAAAAGATTAGTTAGCTGCTGCGTGTGCTGACACACGCCTCATCATTCTAGCTCTTTGGGAGGGTAAAGTGTGGACAACATGAGCCCAGGAGTTCAAGGCTGCTGTAAACTAGAACTGTGCCAATGTACCCCAGTCCTGGGTCACAGGGCAACACCTTTTCTCTCTCTCTCTCTCTCTCTCTTTTCTTTTTGAGATGGAGTCTAGCTCTGTTGCCCAGGCTGGAGTGCAATGGTACGATCTGGGCTCTCTGCAACCTCCGCCTCCTGGGTTCAAGTGATTCTCCTGCCTCAGCGTCCCGAGTTCCTGGGACTACAGATGTGTGCCACCATGCTCAGCTGATTTTTTTTTATTTTTAGTAGAGATGGCGTTTCACCGTGTTAGCCTGGATGATCTCGAACTCCTGACGTCATTATTTGCCTGCCTTGACCTCCCAAAGTGCTGGGATTACAGGCGTGAGCCACCCTGCTGACACTTTTTTTTTATTAAGACAGTTTCTGTCTGTCACCCAGGCTGGAGTGCAGTGGCACAATCTTGGCTTATTGCAATCTACCTTCTGGGTTCAAGGGATTCTCCTATGTCAGCCTCCTGAGTAGCTGAGATTATCACCATGTGCCACCATATCCAGCTAATTTTTGAATTTTTAGTAGAGATGAGGATTCAACATGTTGGCAAGGCTGCTTTCGAACTCCTGACCTTTAGTGATCCATCCGTCTCGGCCTCCCAATGTGCTGGGACTATAGGCATCAGCCACCGTACCCAGACGAAAAACATGTCTCTTAAGAAAAAAAGTTTGGAGTCAGAGACGAGTTGAACTACTAGTGTGGCTTCCACTGCATTACCAAATCAGATACAAAGTATCTCCCCTTACTGGTGTCCTTTTCCAGAATTTACCAGGTATCTGTGCACATTAACCTATGTGTTTCATATGTAGTTTCTAAGATCTCATCCACAAAGAGCTAACATACATCTGTGGCCCAGAACAATCCAGCCTTCCCGGCAGCACTGACGCTGTGGATGTCCACCCGGGTCTGGTGTCAGCCCTTCCCATGACTATGCCCAGTGGAGCTTCTTCCCAGGTTCATGTCACTGGGTCACAGGAGACGGAATCTCAGAGCAGATGACAGGAACTGAGGGAAGGCATGGGTGAGTGCGCGCCAACGTGTCAGGAAGGACGCTTCAGAGTCAGAACAGACTGGCTACCACAATACCTGGCATTTCTGAAAGGAAAGAGACAGATGAATCCACTGAGCAGTGTCACTTTACCTGAGGAAGAGCCATGCCTGGCTCCTTTTCTTGCCTCTTCTGAGCTGCTTCCTCACATAATATGAGTCTTTAGAAATCAATCCTGTATGTGAAAATAATTTAAGACTTAATGTTAGAAATGTCTCACTCCGTTCCTGTGACAAAAACACACACATGGGAGAGACCTCACCCTGTAGAAAGATGGGCCTCTGCTGCCCACTGCACCAGAGATCATGCAGAGAGAAGAAAGTCCCTGGCCAGATGTGGTGGCTCCCAGCATTTTGGGAGGTGGAGGTGGGTGGATCACAAGGTCAGGAGTTCAAGACCAGCCTGGCCAAGATGGTAAAACC